TACCTCACCGATAATAGGAGAACGACCCTAGAGGCGCCTTTGCTAGCGCCCCTCTTTCTTTCGCCAGGGCTGTGATGCAGGGGGAGACCCCCTACACCGCCCGCGGGTGCGCCCCCGACTGTTGCTGGTGCCAACTTAAGGGATCGACATGCACACTCCACCAAGGCAAATGATCAAACGGGCAGGCGAAAGCAGAAACAGCGGCAGAAAGCATGATGATAGCATTTGCCTTGGTGGGTGGCCTCAGGTAAAGCGTACAGGTTCAGCACGTCGGGGTCAGGCTGTACTAGGCAAACGTTGTTACTGTTAAAGTTGAAAGGGAAAACCTGCAATCAGTATGGAGAGCGTAGTTTGGTGGCACAGCGGCCCGTCAAGGTAAAAGTACAAGTTGGGGTGAAGGGGTTACCCCCTCAGCTCTATGGTACATGCGCTTCGAGCGAAAGCTGTATGATTGTATGGGGTTGGCTCCAGCGGCCCGTCAGGAAAAGGTTTGCACATTTGGAATTATGCGGCATGACACCCCTACGTTCAAAGGATTTCAATGGAGGAGCCAGCACATGTTGTGCCGAGGTGTTGCCTGCTGACCCCAAAAAGAACAAGAAAGGAACCTGAAACTTGAGACAAGGCCGAAGTAACCCTAAACCCCCGCCAAAGGTGCATACCAACTCAAGGCCTTTCTCGGGTTCCCCCGTTCCATGGCAAGGGAAGTCAAAAGGAAAAGGGATTTGTCCCCTAGGCCGGGCTGTTCACTCGTTCAAGCCTCTCAGAAGCAGCGCTCAGTAGTCTTCGTTCCGCTTCCGGCGACGTTGCCTGTCTGGAGACCGCTCTCCTGCTTGTCGCTGCTTCTTCTTGTGGGCTCTGTAGGCGCCTTTACTTTCACGCCTATATCTTTTCCAGAGGTCCGCATCGTTCTCGTGGTCCGCCAGTCGGGTTAGTTCCCCCGATTCTAGAAGCTGTTGGAGTCGGCGTCTCTGTCGTGGGGTAAGAGCTGAAGGAGCTCCGGCTGGCTCGGGAGGACGGAGAGGTTCCCCCCTGTCTGCATCGTCGTGTTCAGCTCCCTCTTCGCCTTCGTTGTCGGGTTGGACTTCCCCGTCGTCTTGCGTGTCCCGGTACTCGTCCATGTCCATGTCCATGTCCGCTTCCTCCTTACAGTTGTACAGCTGATCCAAGTGCCTTGCGTCCTCCTCGTCGTTGTGCTCATTCATCATCTGGGCCGTCTCGAGGGGCTGGAGCAGTAGAAAGCTTCCCCCGGCCACATAGGTTTCGTTCTCGAAAACATCAACCGAAGGGTGTAGTCCCCGCTGAGGTATGGTTGCATCTTCGTAGCAGGTGGAGGGATGCCCCTGGTTGTCCTCACTCACTGGCCTGACAGTAGTTTGATGTTCCTCAGCAGCGGTGGGCTTGGTCTTCGTGCCATAGAAGTCGGTCGTCATCTGCTCGGGGTGCGCCCCCTGGTAGAAGGGCTCGTTGTTCGCAAAGTCGAGGGAGTTGCCCCCCATGTTCTCCGCCGGCAGGTTAGGTTCCGCGTTCTGCTGGGCTCGTAGAGGAGGGCCTTGTGTTGGAACCGCAGGTGCTGCCTTGGCCTCCAAGGGTGTCAGTCGGATTCTCTTGCTGTGGTCTTTCTGTAGGGGTCGGTCCCCCTCTCTCTGGGCTGGGTCGCAGTGGAGCTGAAGTGGAGGAGGCCGTAGAGGAGGTTCCCCTAGTCGTAGTCGGCGGCGGCGGCGTTAGGAGTGCAGGTGGACTAGCGAAAGCACGAACTGGCGTCCTTCTTGGTGAGGTGGGTCTGCTAGGCTGACTGGCCATGCCAAAAACTTTTTGAGTCGCGGCAGTGGGTCCTGAAGGAGCTCGTCCATATCGTCGTCATCTCCATCGCCAGGAGTGACCTCCTGGGGCTTGGGCTCCTCGTAGCGGTGCCTGCGCCTTTTTGGCCTGTCGAGGGGGGGGGGCACGTTGAAGTAGTAGAGCTCAAAGTGCGGGCCTCGTCCCGCGCAAGTTGGATGTCTTGTTGAAGAAGCAGCTCCCGAGCTTTCGCAGGCGTCGGCTACACCGAAGAGTATGCAGTTGTCCGCCAGCGGGTCATGTTTATGATGACTTCGCTCCCTTTTTATGCATTTCAGGCACAGCTTTTGCGACTTGGGGAGGTTCCCCGGCTCAGGTTCACAAGGCTGGGGTGCAGGCAAGGGACGGTCTCCCGTCTCCCTGGAGCATCGAGTCCTGGATGGCAGCGTCGATCTTTTTCTGGTGCAGGAACTCTTGGATTCCTTTTGCATCTTCACGAAGACAGCCGTGTAGGATGCACTGGGGATCGGCACGGGTGTGGCCTCCTTGGTAGGAGCTCCCCTTTTTGCATCTAAGGCACTTGGGGTCATTCAACGGCGTTGTCATGGCTTCAGGATCTCCCGCTGTGTGGCGCGTGGTGCGCTGGGTGGCGGGCCGTCCCCCGCTTCCAAGTCGTAGGCAAAGGTATTATTCGCGGTGGCGATGCCCAAGTCACGAACTGGTAGTCGATGGAGTTCTCGTTCGAGGTACACGTAGCCGGGAATCCCCCGGAAGAGAAACACGTTGAGTAGGCTCGCCGATCAAGTACTGGTAGCGGGGCACAAACTCCCGAACGGTCAGGAAACAGCAGCGGTTGCCCTGGGGCTGCGTTGCACACCGATCTCCGTTACCGAAGCGTGCAGCAAGAAGAGCGCAGACTTATTGTTCACTGGGATCAGCAATCGCTTCGGAAGAAAAGAAGGACCTAAGAAAGACGGGACAGGCCCCCGGGTTGAGGACGGAGTGGCCCTCAGTAAGAGGAGAGAAAGAGGCGGGGCAGTGAGGCCACTCCTCCTTGAACCGCTCACGGCTTGAGCCAAAATGGCTACCGGCTATCCTCTCTCTCTCTCTCTCTCTCTTCTTCCCCCGGGCATAAGGGACTGGTCAGGTCCCTCGGCCTCATGGGCCCCCCACGTGTTATGGGGCTTTGAAGGGACTGTGATAAGTTTTTCTCGGACGGGGGAGGGCTTCACATACTGCGGGTATAATAGTAGAGGTAAAGGATCATGTCACAACAGCTATGAGAATGTCCCCCCTCGTCAGAGTGTGCAGTACCTCTCTCTCTCTCTCTCAAATATATATATATATATATAATATTGGTACCCCGCCTTGAAACCTACCTCCAGGCCGTTCTGTATACATATATGCATGCACGCGCACACATGGATTTGTCTATACAAACATTGCGAAATAAGCCGAAAGGGCTGCATATGTAGGGTCATGCCCCATATAATTGGATCGGGGATCATGGATCAGATCGTCCGGAACTCTTTTCTGCGGAAACCCTGTAAAATACCTTTTAGAAGACACCCTATATGATGATACCCCTGTACAACTTATATATGCCCCATAAAAGATATCCAGGGAAAATCAGGCCGAGCCCAAAATCTTAAAATTCCTTAGTTAGTTATATAGATAGATAGATAGATAGATAGATAGATAGATAGATATGATTTTAAATGCGTGTGTGTAATCATTAACATAGCATAGTTTATTATATGGTACTATGGCGTAATGCTGGGCCAGTTGGCCAACCGGGCGACAGCAACCACTGCCGGGCAGGCCCAGCAGTGCAGATCGACACGGAATTCCCTTCACCTTCGCTGCCAAAACACCCAAGGCCGAGGAGGCTCTCAGGGGTCTTCTCAGTCTCCAAGGACCAAGCCGACAGCGTAGGGGCGCCCCTTGCCGTAGCAGCTATGACCTAGTCAGCGCGGCTATCAGTTCTCAGAAGAAGCACCGTGGTTGTGCCCGGTTGAAGCCGGCTTGGCAAAGCAAACAATCTATTGAGGCTCTGGCGCTAAGCCTCATTTCCTCCCCGTCGACATTTGGGCTCTCTGCCTCTGGTGCCTGCAGCCCCGGTCATCCCCAACAACTGACAAAGGAAGCAACTTTGCAATCGGTTTGTGCCAGCTGCATCAGCACTACGGACAGCAAGGACAACACTTGTAAGACTTCCTAGGAGCAAGAGACAAATCGCGCCTCGGACTGGACTGCACACAGCGCGAAGAAGTGCCTTCTGCAAACCGTCAGCGATGTTCAACAAGTGCGAGGTACAGCGAGCTAGAGGGGCCAGGCTCAAGCCCCGCAGTGCATTTGAAGGGAACAGACTTAGCCACTTTTCCAGTCCGGCAGCGACGACAGACTTGTTGCAAACAGTAGCCAAACAATTGCTGCATGTATCGCATCAGCTCATTCAAAAATTTCTTGGGGTCTAAATGCTCGAATGAAAAACTGCCAATTGTGAAATGGACGCCGCGGGCGAAGATCAGCATTGCGAGACCGAAAGCGGCCGAGAGGGAACGGAGAACTCAATGCACCGCAGTATCTTGTATCCTCACAGTGGGACCGAGGGTTGAACCAGGTTATGCCCCACTCTCTCACTCCCACCCCGCTGCAGCAACTGTTTGGGCCTCATGTGCATCAGGTGCAATCGTTACCCAGGCAACAGCGGAGTAACCGATGAGTCGAAACCACACGTCAATGTGTTCAAAAGCGGCTGTCTATGCACGTGTTCGTGCGACAGCAGGTACCATCTTGAAATCAGCAATCCTCACAGCAAGGCACATTCTCCTGTCTGTGTCACTTGACACGCCCTGCTAGCCTGATGTGGGACTCTTTGCGAAGGTCAAAAGACTGGCTGGCTGTGGAAGACCAGGCAAGTATGCGAATGACCGGTTTACAGGTGACAGATCTTCAAAAAAAGCATGCAGTCACAGGGCTACAGCTGTAATCTAGCGGCCCGGAGCCTGAGGCTCGACGAACCCATGCCCTGCTGACCTTGGGCTCGCAACATATCCAAAAGAAATTGCGACCTCAAGCAACGATAGGCCCGCTGATGTCAACTCTCGAGGCCGCTGCTGACGAGCACCTGGGAAAAACATTTCAACCCAAGTTGCAATGCTGCAGGTTTCACCGCAGACAACGCATGGCAGAACTCGCAGCCAATGCGATGCATCTCGTTGCTCTTCTCTGCAGTGGTGCTACTTTGGAAACCTCACGTTCGGCACTAGCTACGAGGGCGTGCCTGAAGCAGATGCACGGCATCTTCTGCCACACTTGCTGGTGTCTTTGAGCATGGCAGAATCCTCTGTCAAAGCCCCATCAAGTCAACTCACACGACTCAGTGACAGCAACGTCCAAGCTGTGGGAGGGCTGCGAAACACTGAGATGAAGGCCGTTGCATGAGAAGATTCCCCAGCACCTGCTATGAAAATCATTGACTTGACGAGGCCGACGTGTCAGGTAGCCTGCGATAGCAGAGCACCGGCATCACTGCCTTCAGGCCTCAGCTGTAGTGGGGCAAAGGCTGGTCAGCAGTGAAAATTGCAGACGAATCACCGCGGTGCTGGGAGCGCCTCGCCAAGGACCTCTCGGCGTCAGGCGTTGTTAGTGTTCTTGGCTTTGCAGCCACAGCTTTGGAGAAAGCGTTCACAACGAACGTAAAGTTGCCAGTCGTGTCTCTTTTTAACCTTCATGTCTCTTCAGAACCTTGACCTTCTCTCGCTCGCAATCGGCTGTGCTTACTGTGCTGCCATCCTGGAAAGAAATTCCTTAGAAGCTGGCCTTTGAGAAGCAAGTAATCAACGCGTCCCAATATCTTTTGGCTGCCTTGGCTTGGGAAGCAAACCAGCACAATCGCCACTATGGTCTGCTCTCAGCAATGCCTACAGACACCATGCGAACTTTGGTCAAAATTTCCATTTCCTTCCAACCGAAATTCCCATTGAACATGTTATGCTACACCGGCGTGCACGTGCAATAGCTGCATCGCGAACGGTTTCTACCAACAAATCTGAATAAAAACGTCCAGCACAAATCCAGCTTGAAGCCCCAGAGAGACTTACTTCACTTATTCCGATCAAGCTGAGAGGCATCAGGCTCTAGCTCACAACGCGCAACACCTGCCAGGCTATCTTCCACCTTGGTCGTTGGCTTCACATGTCATCATGTCATACCATGTAGTCTAGCTGTAGCCGAGGGCCAAACCAAGTAGAACAACGCCTCGCCAGAATCCGCTACAGTGCAACGAGCAACTCTCGTTTGCGCAGCCTCCAGTGCCAGTTTCCAAAGACCACACCGACGAACAGCTTTGCGCCCTGTCATTGCATGGTTCCATGGACTCGTGTGCTCGCGGAATTCATGCTTAGAGTGACTGAGCTTCGCGAAGCTTCGCCCCTTTCAGGCCCCTTTCATCCTGCAACATAATGACCGTAACTGACCTGTCGGCTGGGAGCCTTTACCGCAAGCCAGATCTGTGAGTACCTGCACGCTGGTGTTTGTGCGGCAGTGCCCACCAACTATCTGCTGCGCACTTCGAGGAGGCGTGGAACAATCGCTCCAAGGAAGTGCTCGAGATGCCTACCCACGCAGGTTGCCAAAGCACGCATGCTCTCAACAGTCTTGGTCGTCCGGGCTATGAGGACCAACTTCTGCTTGCAAGAAACTCTCGAGGCTCTGTACACAGCTCTTTCCATCTGTACAACAGCACCGTTTCTTGCTGTGCAGCCTGCACAAAACAGTGCAGCGATTAATGATTGGTCAGCATTTTGTGCAGTCAAGGCTGCATTCAAGCTCAGGTGGCTTCAGCCACACACTGACTTGCAATCTTTTCCTGCAAGTTCCACAATGCTTCTGGCGGCAGTTGCTGCACCCTCCTCTTTCAAGACCTGACGAGCATGCTCGGGTCCAAACGCTCTAGGGACCGGACCCGTTATGCCAGCCTCATCACGCCAGTGCTGCAACGTCTCTTGGGGCACCTCCAGACCCTCTCGCACTGAAGCCGCCACCTTGCAAAATAAAAGCTTCCATCAGGGAGACTTTGGGATGTGCTGGCTGCCCTGCACCTGCTCGACGGCTGCATCGCTTCGAAGCGTTGCCTTCCGCAACTTGCAAGTGTAGCCATACAGCTCCTTCGTAGCGGCGGCATACTCAAGCTTGGAAATTCGCACATTTGATGCCACGTCGGGTGGTTCGCAGTTGGTAATGAAAGACGTGATCGGAGCTTGTGTCGACATTTTTTTTGGCTCCCGCATTTCAAAGTCCGAAAACTCCACGTGGCAGGTAACGCATGAGCTACTGGCTTCCTGTCGACATCTTTATGCACAAACGCGCTGGCTGGAGTATGGCTGAGTGATAGCCAAGCTAGCAACAAGTTGCAGGTCGCAACGGTTACAACGGCACCGAGTCCTCCAGGCGGCTTGCAATGTAGAACCTGGGCTTTTGGCTTGGCCTGTGTCAATCTGCGGCTACAACACCTCAAGCATGCGAAAGTACGTAGCCGGTTTCGCCCAGCATCTGATCATCGAAGAACGGAAGTGGAACCACAGGGACACCGCACGCCAGTGCTTCGTGCGCGGAATTCGCACCACCATGCGACCTCAGCTAGCCTGAGAAAATCGGCTCAGGAAACCCAACCAAAAGAACTCAAAGGGAAACATCATCTAAAAGCAGTGCTTGTGGCTGGCAGCGAAGTGACACGAAACACCGCACCAAAGGATGGTTCAAAACCGCCCACTGCGGCAGGTACTTTGCACAGCGAAGTCTGCCACAAGATACCGCCTTCAGCAGCGTCGGACTCAACTGTCGCGCAGTCTCCTTCAACACGGCCAGCACACGGGGAGAGGCCAACAAGCAGCCCTGCAGCAGCTTCTCCTCAGCATTCTCACACACACCTTCGAGAGTGGTCTGGCTTCCCAACGCTACAACTGTGATGATGCCTGTGACGGTCCGAACGTCCGATTCCCCTGCACCATCAAGCCAGTTCTGCAGCTCAACATCGCATACATCAGCATCCTCGCGGCTTGGGAGAAAAGCTCCAAAGCGTCGACGACCTCCTGCATCTACAGCTTTCCCCACCAAGCAGTTTGCGATGATGTAGGAGACTGCTTCCGGCGCAAATTTCTGAAAGCTGTCAATGTCTTCTGCTCGGTTCCTCACGATGCACTGGTTGTCAAAGTCCCAAATAGCATCGTGACAGTAGGCTGCTCTGAACGGTTCCCGGTAGGACGGCATCAAACCGAACGCCTTCTTCCTGCAAGGCAACTGGTAGATTACTCGGGATGTGGCTGAATCATATTGACTAATCGCATGGGAGCGGGAAGGGACACCACGGAAGACTATCTTACGACAAACTGTGCCAAGTCTCCCATGAGCAATTGCCAAATCATGTGACCACTTGCCCCAAACTGCCTCGAAGACCACACACTGTACATCGGCCTGCGCCAGTCGATCTTCGAAAGCCGTCACACCAAGGGCCGACACCGGATTCATTTCACCGAAACCTTCCCCTTCGCCTCGGAGCAGCACGTTTATGAACCGAAGCGGCCACGTACACAACCCCTAAGTCCTAAGTTGATTGACGCCGAAGCTATCTGAGCTGCTCGAGGGTACCATCGGCCCGTGGCATGCCATTATGTGCTTGAATGAAGCGCCATCATCGAGGAACAAGGCTTTCTGCCCATCTGCATCCGTATCACCGGAGCTGACACAAGACTTGTACGCAGCTGTGATGGCAGGCAGGTTGCAACGCCCCAGATCCTGAACAATCGCATTAGCATGCAAGCAGAAGCACAGGTGCCGGTACTGTGATACAGATGACTACTGTTGCATACGGTTGCCGACACAACAGATCCACACGCACCTACTCACACAAGAGATCACTTGCTGTATCTTGCCGTGCTTCACGCGGGTTCACGCCTCAGGTGCAGCCGAGTCTCCAACCGAACTTCGTGAAATACATCGGGCTTTACCCACTCCGCACAGTTTGAATTTGTCCACAACTCGCACGTCAGCCCGCACTTGGACAATGCCCGTGCCAGTGGAATGCAGAAGTTAAAATGCCCACGATCTGCGTGAAAGACAAACAGCACGCGAGACATGTATCGAAGGTGCCGCAAGGTTCACAAGTATCTAATAGTGGCGATGCTTTGGACCCACTGCTGCATTGACAAGAGCTTTTGCGCATGTGTTGGTGCGGCCTACCAGACAGAATGCCCACATATGCCCACGCAGGTGCCTTGATGCCTGGAGGCTGATCCTGAAAACGACAAAAGTTTCCCGAGATTGCAAGTCTTGACAGCACTCGCAGCTTGTAAGGGCGAAGCTCTTTCTCACCTTGCCGCCAGGCTCAAAACATGTCTACTCGTTTCTCGACGCTGCTGTACAACTTCCAGGATTCAGGGCGGAGCGAGGAGCCATGTCTTATGAGTCACTACGTCTGCTGCACGACTCTCTGCATGAACTCCGGACGTGCACACGGCGAAGCGACAAACGCAGATAAACTGGGGAGTCGCGGGACTCCCATGCCTGGACTACCAAGGTCCCGCAGCGCCTGAGAGCTTCAGGAGTTGATGCAGCAAAGTCCTCCGGCCTAAGGTTTCGGGGGAAGCCGCGTGGAAATCTGGCATTCCAATGCAGCTTGTCGATGCCTAGAAGTTCATGCCCAGTTAAGTCCCACTGGGGCTGGCAAGATCTGGCAAGGGTGCATCTCAGCTTCCGGCAGAAAAGGATAAGCACGCAGAGGCTGCGAACCGCAAGCGCCAGCCTCTGAGGAGGCAGGGTCGTGTGCAGAAATGCTCATATTCAATCACGAAGCATCATCTGCTCTGATACTGGACTGGCCCTGCCTGTTGGAGTCAACACAGATATGCCGAAGGTCCAAGAAAACAACGCACAGCTGGCACAGGAATAATGCCTGTGGTCAGAAGATGTCAGAAGGGACAATTTGGCGAAACCCTCCCTGCTTTCTACGAGTACCAGATGTGCAAATAAACATCATGACCGTCAGCACCAAGTAATTGTGGCCCAAAGTCTCACTTGCTGCGCAACTTGAAATCTCTGTGCTGCCTCAAGGTAGCTGTCCTCGAACGAGGGTATCTCCTGTGCCAGAATTTCACGTTGTGCGTGCGGTGCAAAGCGCACGAAAGGACTGTCGAGGACCTCTAACAAGCTGAAGGCTGTCCCTTGGACGTGCTGCAACCGAGCCTTCAAGAGTGCGCGGTGAAAACGACACAGCAGTCCCTCTGCCACGAAGCACATAGCGCAAACGGCATGCGATAAGAGATCTGCCGAACAAGTGTGGAGCATTGTCCGGTGCGTCGGTGTTCTACTTGGACCTTGCCGGCAAGATGAGTGTCAAGCCAACCCTCTTCCAAATATGAGTTATGATCCCGTCTGGCAACCTGAAAAGCGAATGGCCTTCCCATGGCCAACATGTGCTTGGGCAGTCTCTCCACTGTCGTGGATGAGCAGCAGGAAGCAAGCCCAGCAAGCACAAAACAGCTTTTCAATCGCGATTGGCCGCACGTCGGCCCATGGCCAGTCACCGTCCACCAGCATGCACACCTCGTCAAGCAGCGCCACTGCCTGCAACTCGTGCGCCATGGCATCAGGGCTTTGCAAGGGAAAATCCACTGATGAGTAGCATGTCCAATTAGAATTGCTGTGACGTTCCTCGTTCGGGTGATGGATATGTGGATGCCAGTCTCAACCCCAGCCTGCCCCTTTGCCAGTATCTTCTGACAGACCTTCGCTGCAGCGCGCCGCTTGGCAAAAGTGCTTAGCAAACCATGAAGGCTCAAGGAAACCGTCGGTACCTAGCTCGGATGTTAATTTCAAGAAAAGGACCGAAACCGCAGCACTGTATGTGATCAGGTCCGGCTTCGCTCCCTGCGGCTCGTTCATTTCCTTGCAGGGCATTTCGGGAAGTGCGAAAGCTGCAGCCAGAGATTGCCAGGTCCACAGTGTGAAAGGCCGGAGCAGCCCTGCACACCTGTCGCATCTTGTCACTCTGGTCCTCCCTAGCCCTGCCCGGCGACCAAAATTGCTACCGTCTAACTGCTCAGTGCTCGAGGACCTTCTTCGCAGAAAAAGAGCTCTCTTAGAGCAGAGCTCTCTCTGGGTCCGAGTCTCTTTCAGCAGACTAAGTGATCGTTGCCACTGCCAGGAGGCCTTGAAGGCCTGGGTCACCACGCAGAACGCAGAAACGACACAGGCTGGAGCCAAGGTGACGACAAGCAAAAGGGGAACATGAAGGGCCACGAAGACATGCACAGGGAGCACAGAACCGCCACGTCCTGCTTCGTTGCACTGGTGCTTCACTCTCATCCTTTTGAGCGTTGGGGTCCTGCCCACCACCTTCCGGAATTGCTTCATCACTGCTCCCTTGTGTGACTCCTCTACTTGACCCTCCACATCCATGCGATCTACAAGTATTGTCCCTCACGCCACTTTGTGAGTTCAATGCCCTGGTTTCCTGTTAGTCAAGCACGTACGGGATCCACGCATTTGCATTTTGTAGAACCTGTCCCGAACATACGCCGACGACACCCGAGCCCACTGTTGAACACCATGTGCTGCTTTCGATCTCCATCGGGGTATGTGCAAAACTTCTTGTTCTTCGCCCTCCCATTTTCACATCGGTTGCTGTTCCCACCGTCGGGAGTCTTGCTGCCGCGACACCTTCTGTGCAGCATTGTGCGACAATGCATCGGGCAAAAGGCGCTTGAGCTTCATGTCCTGTGAAAACGGCTGGTGATTGGCGATGTCAGTCAAACTAATTACGTCAAGACTGACGTCCTGCAACAGGCGAGCAGCCACCTGCCAGTTCGCCCCAGCCTCGCAAGCTGCGATGGCCTTCAGTCTTTTCTAGGCTCGCGTCATTGTGCAAATGCGAGAAAATAAGCACAGCAAACTGAGTCGAGGACAGAATTGAAACTGACAACATCTGGACTGGACATAGCGTACAGGATCCTCAACGCTGGGTGCAGATTGGTCATTCGGAACCCTTGTCAGGCAACCAGCCGATTGCCTGACAACGACAATTCCTGAGGCAACGGCACGGCGGCTTGGGCCCACTGCCCCACTGCGGCGCACGCGGCTATAGCAGCATTGTTGGCAATAACCTTTGCAGAACTGAAGCATGGCAAGCTGACGACACAGAAGCGTGCCCCTTAACACATTCGCGATCGGCCCTTGCAAGCAGCCAGGCAGTAAACGTCATTGTCTCGTCCTGTTCCGAAAGGAATCCCTCCTGCGGCACCTCTGACTGCACAAACACGATTGTCCCGTTTACCCGCTCATTCTTCGGTATTCTTCGGCGATGACCACTCGTCGACTTCAGGTTTCAATGCTTTCAACCTTTACAGGCCTAAGTGTTTCCTCTCGAGTTGCGGCCCGGAGAATATCGGATATGTTCCCCACATTCCTGCTGCGATGGTTGTGGGCACGGGGAAATCTGATCTCTTGCATCCGAAAAACACTAAGCTTCCCCACAGAATGTAGCAAGCCCTTCCTGCTCCTTTTCGCACTTCTGTTGTGAGTTACCATGGCCAGCCGGTCCTACGAAGGCAACAAGTCCCTTGCCAATATCAGGTCCTGAGATCAAAAGTCTTTGTACCTCACCTAGAATCGCCAAGCAACATTTGGAGTGATCTGCCTCCCATTCATCTCCTTGGAAGTGAAATTCTTGCTTGACTGATATGACTGGACATAACTTTTCGATGCGGCACTTCGAGCATGGCCAACCTTAAATGCAAGACCGACCCAAACAAAGCAGCTCAAAGCAATGAACGCATGTGGCAGCTGACCTCGCACGCTCATAAGGCCGACTGTTCCTGGCTCCTTCTTGCGTCACATAGTCTCGAGCCCGGCCGAAGGCTTAGGGCATCTGTTGGATATGCTTCTACTTGTGAGTGGTGCCTCGTTGTCAGGGCGGGCAACGTGACCACGTCAACGGCCATACATATCATAGGATGTCAGTGGCCAGCTTTGCTGTCGAATCCAAGTCCAAACCCCAATGGCGCTTCATCCACCCAGCATCATTTACACATGTGGCACCCTCCACGCATTCTGCTCAAGCATCCCACAGTTCTGTCACGCGAAGTATCGGCAGCTCAGCCAAGGTACGCGAAAGCCCACTGCTCGTCTGCCTGCAGGTCTTCCCACAAGAATGGTACAGTACTGGTTTCGCTGACAAAGCGAGTCGAAGGTGTGGTCTGCCTCGCAGGCACTGATGATGGCGCTGAAAGTAATGATGTCAGCTTCCACCTCCTTGGATAGAGCGGATCACTCGGTCCACGCCCGGCTTCTTTTTTATGCTTTAGCCCAGGGGCTGCTGCTGACATTTGCCTCAACACTTCCACTGCCTGCTCCCACTCCTTGCAGGATGCTTCAGTCGGTGCCGTTCTAGATGGCAAGCCGTCAGACGCAGCTCTCGGTAACTATGTTCTGGGTAAGCCTAAGCCCTAGACTGCAACCCTTGCCTCACGAGATCTGGAATTACATGTATGCATGGCGGATTCGGTGTAATATCCCTGTCTGCTGGGCATGGGTATAGCTCTTGCTCTCGGCCTAGAACCAGCCCAAGCTTGAAGACCTCAAAAATCCGAAGCCGCAGAAACTCCTCCTTTGGATCTGAACCGTCATCTTAATCCTCATCATCATCATCGTCATAGTCTTCATCTTTAAAAACCATGTCAGCATCACATTATAAGCTTCACCATCATAATCTCCATTATCATCGTCATACTCAAATTCTTCCGTTTTCATCACCCTCACCCGTACATTCACCGTATTCACGATCAGGATTTTAGACTTTTCATGAAGCTACACCATAATTATCGTAATCTTGATTTCGATCAACATCACCATGACATTCACCAGAGTCACAAGCCAAATCTGCAGCGCACGGTCACCATCAGAATCACAATAACCTCTTTTGGAACACTCTAAACATCATGATGATGATCATCAGTGTCACATTCATGACTGTCATGAGATTTTTCTGGTGTAACGAGTACTGATGCTGCTGCTTCTTGTCCGCATCCTGCCCCCAGAAAGTGCAATACATGCGATCATGACGACCTGATCCCAGAACCGGGGCGGAGGGCTTTTAAAAAAGGTTTAGCGGCAGGTCTTTTTTTGAAAAGGTTTGGTGGGATATGAATTGGGTTCGCCTGGGCGTCAAGCTGTTGGGGGATGCTAGTTTTCAGGGTTTGTTTGTGCGTCAAGCTATTGAGTTTTCTGTAGTCTTCAGGGTTTATTATTTGTGCGTCCAGTTATTGACGGATTTTCCTGCTGCTGGTGCTGGTGCTTGTCGTGCTGCTGCTGCTGCTGCCGCTGCTGCTGTTGCCGGTGCTGCTGCTTGTCGTGCCGCCTGCTGGTGCTCATATATCTTAAACACGCCCCCTCATTTGACGATTCTGGTTCAACATACGTACATCCTAAACACGCCCCCTCAATTTGGCGATTCCGGATCATCATATATCTGAAACACGCCCCCCTCAATTGGCAATTCCGTTTCATCATAATCTGAAACTGCCCTCTCATTGGCGATTCTGGTTCAAAATATATCTTAAACATGCCCCCTCATTCGGCGATTCCGTTTCACCAGATATCCTGAACGCGCCCTCTCATTTGATGATTCCGGTTCAACATATATCATAAGCACGCCCCCTTATTTGGCGATTCCGTTTCACCAGATATCTTAAACACGCCTCCTCAATTGGCGATTCCGCTTTCCTGTACCAGATATCTTAAACATGCCCCCTCATTTGGCGATTCCAGTTCATCATATATCTTAATCTGCCATGTCATTTATATAGCTACTACATGGGGGCAACAACACACAAAGGAAGAGCCAACTGGTTAACCTTCCTGGTTATAACCAATTTGACAACCATTTATGTCCGAAATCATGGCCCTTTCTGACGCTTTCCCAGCTATCTGGGGTCTTCGCCGGTCTAATGAAAGCACAGCTTCTCGCCAAACCAGAAGCGAAAATTGCAAAAAAACAAAACCGTGACAACACGATCAAAGCATGCAAGACTACAAAACCTGCTTTTGAGAGGAAAACATTCTTTCCAACATTGAAAATCTCAGCGAAGGCATCTTCGAAAACCTCGTAGCCTTCGCGAGGTTGCCTGCGCCAAGCAACCTGTGAACGCAAAAATGACTGCATTCTATTTGGGGAAATGTAAATTTCTAACTTATTACCTTTACCAAACAACATTTGAACTAAAAACGCAACTGGTCAGGAGAAACAAAAGCATGCTTTGTCAACACAAACACGTGCGTCTAGCTGCTAGCTAGCTGCCATCGCCTATATCCCGAACTC